AAATTTACAGACATTTCTAAAATTCTGTTTTCACTGTCGTTATGGGGTACTGAGTGTAGATTAAAAAAAAATGAATTTGAACATTTATAGTATTAGGCTGCAATGTAACAAAATTGAAAAAAGCGAAGGGGGTCTGAATACTTTCTGAATGCACTGTACTTCCATAGCTTTGTTTAGTTTGTCTTTTTTTTTGCCCCGTTTTGCTATTTTTTTATGTCCCAGGTTCTGTTTGTCTCAATAAAAAAAGGAGTCAAATGCTTTAAAAGAGTGACAAGCTTGCCCTGCTGGAACATTTTTGACCCGCTTATTGGCCCTGCAGATGGAGAAGCTGATCTTCTTTGCTTTCAACAATATAGGATTTTTTTCTTTTTGAAAAAGAGAAACAAAAAGCAAGGGGGAAATGGGAGGCAAGAATACCATGCAGGCTATACAGCTGTTGCTGAAAAGAGCAGTGCTGGTTTGAACCAACAGGACACACCTCATCTGCAGTTCAGGTTTGCAACAGACATGCTCTGGCATGGACTAGACATACTGTGGCAACAGCCCTCATCTTCAGTTTTCACCAGAATGCCTTTCATTTTATGTATATAAACATGTATGTATGGGGATGCAACGGTATGTGGGAATGACTTTGTGAGACAGGGCAAAGAGAGGCAGCCAAGGGAACAGTTAGATAAAAGGCAGGTTAGCCTGCCGCAAGAATGGGGGCAGGGCAAGAGGCTCAGAAGAGACCCTCCCTAGTTTCTTGGCTGTAAAGGAAATGCGGGGAGAGATATACTTTCAGACTTGCAAGATTCTGTTAATGAAATCTGACAAGTTTCTCTTACCTGATTTCATGGAGCTTGACAGTCTCATTGATTATCACTACAAGGACAAGAGAGAGCAAACCCAGCAGCCAGGAGGCCATGGGAATGTCCTCCATTTGGTAAGTCACAGGAGACTCAAGATTCACCCACAGTTTCAGATCCAGGAAGGTCTGAACAATCTGGCCCAGCAACCTATAAATACAAAGAGACAATCCTTAAGTAACATCATTCTTGGAAGGAAGATGCTGTCTTCCCCCAAATATGGTTGCTAACAGAAGAGAGATGCAAAGAGAAATATGCCCAAGCAGAAAGGAAACCTTGGCACTGAATTTTAATAGCAGCTGGTGGGATCCACCTTACATGGTAGCAACCTGTGAACTTCCAGGTGCTGCTGAAATGCAGCTCCCAGTGTTCCTCACCACTGGCTTTGCTGACTGGGGTTGTTGGGAATTTGTATTTTACAGCATCTGGAGACCCACAGGTTGCCCATTCCAGATATATCCACAAAGAATTTACAGGATGATAGTTTGGCCAGGGGTTCTTAACCTGGGGACCACAAAGCCCTATGGTGTCCACTGATAGATTCAGGGAGTCTGTGAATTTGGATGGGAAAAAAATTAAAAGATTATTTTCACTACCACTAACTGAAATTTATCTTTTCATTTAATAATGAATGTAGACAACAAAATAATCTGTGGCTTCTAGACTGCAAAAATGTTTGTGAATTTCAATAAATCTCACTATCTAAAATTATTTAAATTATTTTTGATAAATGTATTGAGCATAATTGACATTTTTGTAATACAATCTATGTCTTTTATGATATGCTTTTAAATATATTTTTCTGGGAATAAATCCGCAAGTTTCACAAGATGTTCAAAGTGGTCCATGGCACAAGAAGATTAAGAATCCCTGGTCTAGGCCATGAAATACATTAAAAATCCAAGACTAAGGAAATGATTATGAATCTGAAAAGAGAGGCAGAAAATTAGGGCATTCCAGAAACACATATCCATAAAATGACTGAAATGTGATGCTGTTTCCCACCCGAAAAAAAAACAAATAGAATATGTCAAAGGAAATACTTAGGTGTAACAGAGGTACTGGTTAAGACAAAAATCAACCCCCTAAGGAAGGCTGACTAGATTCAGCTGCAGTTTCTAAGAATTAGGAAAAGAGACTCACACAACCACTACTGTCAGGGTCCACCAGAAGTTAGTGAAGGGGCTTTTCTTCCACAGTGGTTTGGTACGATGGACATGAGTGACTGAAATAAACACTGGAAAGAAAAACCATCTTGTTTTTTATTTGCAGCTTTGCACCAAGTAGGCCCAAATCTACCCAATCACATATCTTATGCAGGCAAGGCCACCTCTTCACCACAGTATGAAGTAAGGACTAAAAGTCACTTACCGGTGTGTAAGACAATCATTCCGGCTGTAAATTTCTGGGCTAGGAGAAGAATGTTTGAGAAAGTTCCAAACCAATCAGAGTGGGTTTCTGTTCCACTAGAAAAAAAAATGGAGGACATCCATCAGGATGGATCAAGGTTGAAGGCATGAATATGTGTGTATGTCTGTGAATGAGAGAGAGTTGGGAGGAAGAGCTAAATTACAACTTCTATATATACTATGTCAAGCCTGATAACTACTGCAATGTGAGGAAGGTACCTCCTAGAGTAAATTCTATGGCACCAACAACCTCTTGGAAATGACAGATTTAAATCTGAGATGATCTCACAAGTCCAGAGGGGGCACAGGTAAATTAAAGTAACCAGTATCTAGAAGCTGCCAGTTTCAAATGGTTTTTCTGACAGCTGAGAATTTATTTTTTTGCCCACACGCTCAGCCACACAGCCTGTAACAAGCATGTATTCCATGACTCTTCACACTTCTATTTTTTTATCTCTGGAAAAAAATATTGTGGACTATGCTAGCTTGGAATAAAATACTAGAAGAGGTCAAGCTAAACAGTGCAAATACAGCAGAAGAATAACAGCTTAATTCTTCCCACTGCCACATTTGGAAACTTCAATAGAGCCTTGAAGCCTACCTTTGCAGCATGAGGGAGAAGCAGCTTGTGACATTCACACTGAAGGTAGATGAGTTGAAGTTTGCACAGTAATCTTGCAGCAAGTAGCCAAAACAAGCCAAGCAGGAACAGATGGTGAGGCTGAATTTCAGCAGGAAGCAGAAGAGGAAGTAATGCTGAGTCTACAAACATAGCCAGGAAAACCACTGTTATGTATGGAACATGACTCAAACACACTCTCTGCACTAGCTAAGTTGCAACAACTGCAAAAGAGCCAATTTACCAGTCGCACCACTATGCAATTGGGCTGCTACTTAGAACCAGCTGGATTGTCATGGGGTCACGTGGCTGCTGTTGCTGCTGCTGCTGCTGCTGATCTGTTGCTTATTAGCGGCCTGGGAGGGATGAAATCAGTCATTTCCTAGTGACTTGGAGGAAATGCATTGCAGCCTTTTTTGGTGGCTTTCTCAGTCATATGGAGTCCTGGAGACTCAGTTACTGAGACAGAGCCCTTGAAAATCAACCACAGAGATTATAACTTCTGGAGATCAACAAAGACACTGAGAAAACCATTACCATTGTAGTAAATTCCCCTGAAGTTAAAAAAAAAAAATTGAAACCTTTGACCACAGACCAACCATGTTCAAAAGGACCTCCACACTTAATTCAACATCACTAGCATATTCTCAAAACCCCAAGTTTGGGGTAACACCTCAAGAAAATGTATGAAATCAGTGGATTAACGTGTTACTCTACAAATAATACATTCTTCCCATCCACACCATAGCTCATTTTTCTCTTCTTTAAGCAAAAGCAGGGTGTACTATGTGGAGGAATTCATGAGCTTTTGCAAAGCCCTTTCTGCCCATAAGAATGAGAGGGCACGGCTTGGAACTTAGGTTAAAAACGTGTACAACTTTCACATGATTTATGTTTGCTACTTAGATATCCACTTAGAAGCAGGCTCAGCACACAGGATGAGACCATATCACCCTTTCCCCTATGAAAGGAGTCTCAACAAAAATCAACAATGAGCTTTCCTCTTGACATTAGTAGTAAGTTCAAGGTGTAGACATGGGAGGGATCACTATAGTGGTGTGGGGAAAGGATTCAAAAACATTTCCTGTGCAATCTTAATCTTACTTTCACACATACACACACACCCTTACATTAATACAGAATACATTTTAGTTCCATTTGTCTAGAAGCTAGACTGGCTTCTTTGGTATGACCTTCTGGAAATTGTTGAAAACAAGTCTTCCAGAGGGGCTTTGGGAAATCATTGTTCACCATCACTTGATTATCTTGCTGTTTTTATACTGGTATTATTGTTATTTATTGATATTGATATTTTGATCTCTTGCTTAATTTTGCTGGATTTTTGGTACCATGGACATTTAATGATCAAGTACACAAATATTGTATTGTATGGGAGTAGGCAGCAAAGAAATTTAATAAATAATCAGTCAATCAGATTTAGACCTGTCTGGTGCAAAAAAGAAAAGAAAATTTGTTTAGTCTCAGCTACGGCTCTGAGAGGACTCTCTTGCGGAAGCTGGAAGTAAATGATCCACAAGCAGAAGGATGTACGCAAACCATTTAGTCAGTAATGGGGGGGGGTGTCATGTATTAGCTAGAAAATTAACCCCTTGCAAAGCTTCCTTGTACTCCAAACCAACACACATCCAACTGAAACATTTGCTTACCTTTTTAGGAATGAAGATCAAGTTTTTCCCAGTAGCCATCGACATAATGGAACTATGAGGGGGCTTGCCCAGGAGGGATACACTTGAAAAAATAATGATATAATTAATGTAGAAGATAGTCTAGAAGATTAGAATGCAACTAGCATATGAAGCTGTTCGGAGACATCTACTTCTACATTGGAGGTGAATAAGCTCTTTGTGATCAGAAACCACAATTTCTGAAACCACCACCAATTTCAGTGGTGCTGTCCAGAGGACCACCAAACTGGGGCTTACAGTAGCTTCAGGTTGCCCATCCCTGGTCTACAATGACAGGGGCAATCAACAAAAGCAGTTCAAATGTATCAACTGATGTTCTGCAAACGTGTGCAGTATTTGTCCACCGTGTCTTCCACTGAAAGCTCCCACGTATTACAGACTTCACGCAGAATGGCTGCTGTATGGAAATTCTCCCAGTAGCCTCCAGTATGGTGGCCAGAACGTGAAAATCAAATACAGCTTTCCTTATCTTAATTTTCCCCACCTTAACTTAGGAAAGGAAGCCACTCTCTGTAAATATTGCAAAAGGGGCAATGTTACAGATAGCTTACCTTAGCAATGGGTAGCAGAAGCACGAAAGCCACAAAATGTCAGTGGTACTGAGAATGGGAGGCAGTTGTGCCAGGCAAGACAAGAACTACATACAACAAAGCAAAACGCATCATCAGAACCAAAGCTGGAAAATCAAGGAATCAACAAAACATCAAGGACATCTAGAAGAAATGCTGCATAATGAAGAGCTGCCTATCTCTGAGGGTTCCAAAATCAACTTTTATTTGTTTTTTAAGAGGAAAATAACCTACTTGTTTTTAGAGAAATGTTCTAACCTCCATAGAGTGACATAGCTGTGTTTGAAAAACTCAGCATTATGCATGGCAGCCTATGTAAAACACTTACAGGAAAACTCACAAAAAGATCATCAGGAATTCAGACAGGACATCTGCTTACTGGACACCCCCCCCCCCCCCCCCC